AGCTTCTTGGAGAAGAAGGCACAGGGGTGGAGCTTAGGTGGCGTGCCCGAGCGTTGATACAGGACCGCGCCTATTCCTACCTCGGACACATCCACCTCCAATACGAACGGTAGTGATGGATCGGGGTTGGCCAGTACCGGGGCTGAGGTGAACAGACCCCTCAGGTTACTGAAGGCCCCTGTCACCCTCAGCAGACCAGCGGAGCCGGGACGGCCCACCCTTCAACAGAGATGTGATGGGAGTTGCGACCTTGCCAAAGCCCCGGATAAACCTCTGATAGTAGTTGGCAAAGCCAATAAAGCGCTGCACCTCCTTTACCGTGGTGGGAGTCGGCCAATTACGCATGGCTGAAATGCGATCTCCCTCCATCTCCACACCTGAGGTGGTAATGCGGTATCCGAGGTAGGAGACAGACTGTTGGAAAAACAGACACTTTTCTGCCTTGGCATAAAGGTCATGTTCCAACAGTCGGGCCAGCACTTTGCGAACCAGGGACACATGCTCGGCATGCGTAGCGGAATACACCAGAATGTCATCGATGTAGACCACTACACCGCGACCAAGCATGTCCCGAAACACCTCGTTCACAAAGGACTGGAAGACGGATGGAGCATTCATCACCGTAAGGCATCACCAGGTATTCGTAATGCCCAGTGGTTGTGCTGAATGCTGTCTTCCACTCGTCCCCCTCTCCACTCGTCCCCCTCTCGGACACGCACCAGGTTGTACGCACTCCGGAGATCTAATTTTGTGAAGAAGCGCGCCCCATGGATTGATTCGATCACAGATGAAATGAGGGGTAGAGGATAACTAAATTGTATCGTTCCCTTGTTCAGTGATCGGTAATCAATGCAAGGGCGCAGACCTCCGTCTTTCTTCTTCACAAAACGGGCAGGCCCCGTCCAGGTCGTGTGGTCATTAGATCATGTAGTGTTCCTGTGCGCGCATTTGTGTCCCCACAGATGAGCACATTTCCCTGGGCCTGGAAATGGCACATCTCTTCCTCAAGGGTGGGGAATATCTCCTCTGAGTAATATGGGGATTCTGAGGGGGGATATATATTGTTGTTATATAGATATGACATTTGTTTATTGTTAATCTCCCTGTGACCCAGGTGGCCAGTAAAGAGGTGACCAGGGACGAGCCTAAAGTCCTAGCAGTGGCCAGCGTGTCCAATCTGATGGTGATGGTGGAGCCTGAGGCAGGGGTGTACGAGGGCCCCCTCAGCCAGCAGCCCAGCCTAATGGCTGTGGATGAGCAGGTAAGACTTTGGTTCCGTCCCACATAGCACCTTATTCTCTATTTAGAGCATTACTTTTGACCAGGGCCCATAGGGTTCTGGTCAAAAGTAGAGCACTATATAGCCAATTGAACTTAATTGACATTATTATATTATCAAACTGCTAGCTCAAGTGTTTCATATGGGAAGACGTCACAGGGACTTCCTGGTTAAATGAAGGTTAGATTTTTTAAAAAGAAGGATAATATAGAAATCTATTTGTTGGTCTCATCTGAATGTCTTCTTTGTAGAGTTATGTCCCTTTTGTCTGTCTCTCATTTTTATTTATTTCAATGCACTCACTGTAGCTCTTTGCAATTATTTTTCAATGAAAAGTGCATTATAAATTGAATGTATTATTATTGTTCTCTGTAGTGACTGTAACATCTGTCTCCAGGTTAACTCAGTGGGAGTGACGTCCCTCACCGTCACAGCAACACTGAAAGACTTTACTGGCATGGAGGTGACTGGACTGGAGGGAAACACCACCATGCTCTTTGACAGCTGCTGGGCTAACTTCACAGATCTGGCCATCCTCACCAGTGGTATGCCCTCTCAGCAAATGATTAAAGAACAGTCTAGAGTTACAAATATGCACTCCCTTGTAGTCACATAGGGCAATGGGTCCTTTACAATTTCCTGTTTTATTTTTATTATATTTGAAAGGGTATGCTTCACCACTTATTACAATTGTCAATGATACAAATAACTGTCAATTGTAAAATCATAACATAATCTAAATGTTTTACACACATCAATTCCATCTATCTCCGTTTCAACATGCTCATGTCTTTTTCCATCCTCTGTAGGTGAGGACATGACCCTGGCCTTCACTCTGATCAACTGGAACACTCAGTCGTGATCCTTCTCTGTCAAGGCCACCCTGAGCACTGTGACCCCTCTGGCTAGCATTGAGTCACCCACCACCACCTCCACTGCAGGCCCAGACACTACCACAGATATGGTCTCCAACACTGACTCTAACAGCATCTTTGACTCCAGCTCCGCTCTCTCATCAGGCACGCTCTGTCTGGTTAGCGTTATCTATGCACTGAGCCTCCTGTTTCTAGGGACGTAAGACTTTAAGTTCTGGTCTAGTCTGTAAGGATGTTACAAATACCTAAGAATTATGAATAAGTCCATGTAATGAAGGACATTTCTGGAATATTCTTTGAAATAATGCACATAATGGGATGAAATCAGGATGTTGATTTTTTTTTTTGGGACTTGTTTATGTATTTTAAATTAATATATTCATGCATATCATGTTCTGTAGGCTACCTCTTTTTGGGTCCATGACAGTGTTTGTTCTGAAAAAATATATACTGTATCAGGAGACTACCCAGATGCAGACAGTGTTGAAACAACAAAAGTTTATTACAAAAACAGGGGGCAGGCAAACGACAGGTCAAGGGCAGGCAGAGGTCAGTAATCCAGATCAGAGTCCAAAAGGTACAGAACGGCAGGCAGTCTCAGGGTCAGGGCAGGCAGAATGGTCAAAACCGGGAAAACTAGAAAACAGGAACTTGAAAAAGACAGGCGCAAGGGGAAAAACGCTGGTAGGCTTGACGAAACAAAACGAACTGGCAACAGACAAACAGAGAACACAGTTATAAATATACTGGGGATAATGGGGAAGATGGGAGACACCTGGAGGGGGATGGAGACAATCACAAAGACAGGTGAAACAGATCAGGGTGTGACCATTTTTACAATAACAAACCAGAAAACAGACAGATTTGGAGCTTCTGTTGATGAATCTATTACTTTAACTATCCTACTGTGTAATGTTTGGTGATTGTTGAATCCAAATTATCTTTCTATTAAATGCTATTGTTGAAACATCACAAAATGTGACTTATTTATTTGTTCCTGATTCCACCTTCCAACATGGCGATGTATCGCTCAGTTTTTGGATCAACTTACTGTTATACTTTTTTTGCAGTGGTACTTAAGTAAAATGTAAAAAGTACTACTTAAGTAGTTTTTTGGCGTATCTGTACTTGACTATTTCAACTTTCACTTTTACTTCACTACATTGCTAAAGAAAATAATTTACTTTTTACTCCATACATTTTCCCTGACGCCGAAAAGTACTTGTTACATTTCGAATGCTTAGGACAGAAAAATTGTCCAATTCAGGCACTTATCAAGAGAATATCCCTGGTCATCCCTACTACCACAGATCTGGCAGACTCACTAAACAAACATTTGTAAATGTTGGAGTGTGCCCCTGCCTATCCGTAAATGAACAAGAAAATGGTGCCATCTGGTTTGCTTAATATAAGGAATTTGAAATTATTTATACTTTTACTTTTTAGTATATTTTAGCAATTACATTTACTTTTGATACTGCTGTGACTTGCTTCCATTCAGCCACAAGAGCGTTAGTGAGATCGGGCACTGATGTTAAGCGATTAGGCCTGGCTTGCAGTCGGTGTTCCAATTCATCCCAAAGGTGTTCGATGGGGTTGAGGTCAAGGCTCTGTGCAGGCCAGTCAAGTTCTTCCACACCGATCTCGACAAAGCATTTCTGTACGGACCTCGCTTTGTGCATGGAGGCATTGTCATGCTGAAACAGGAAAGGGCCTTCCCCAAACGAACTGACTTGTTGGAAAGGTGGCATGCTATGACGGTGCCACGCTGAAAGTCACTGAGCTCTTCAGTAAGGCCATTCTACTGGCAATGTTTGTCTATGGAGATTACATGGCTGTGTGATCAATTTTATACACCCTTCAGCAACGGATGTGGCGGAAATAGCCGAATCCATTAATTTGAAGGGATGTGTCCACATACTTTTGTTTATACAGTATAGTTTATATTTAAAACCAAATACTTTTAGACTTTTACTCAAGTACTGGGTGACTTTCACTTTTACTTGAGTCATTTTCTATTAAGGTATCTTTACTCTTACTCAAGTATGACAATTGGGAGTCCTACTTTTTCCACCACTGCTCTTTTGAAGTGGATGCTTGTCATGCGGACGTATGATAAGATGCTGTCCTTGGTGCTGAAAGCAGCATCGAAAGTTGTTTTATTTCTGTTCAAGAGCATGCGTAGTTTATTCACTAGGGGGCGGAAGACTCCATAAATTGTAATAGGCCCTTTCTTGAGGAATGCGCTGGAATGGCTGGAGAGACTCAATCATGTCTGGATATTAGATGTAGCCTAATGTCAACAAGGAATGCTGTTGATATGAATAATTTCTTAATACAACAGAACTCACCATTGATGTTTAAGAACTGTGTCATGGGAAGGAGAGGTGAATGTGCCAACATTTGAAGTGAACAGAATACACGAATGAATGTGAAGAAGTACACCTGCTGAAGGTAACACATGATAGCTAAGAAATACATGACGGCTGTTTTGAAGTCTGTTGTGTCAGGCTCCTGGACGTCTTTGTATTTGACCATGTCTTTACCAGAATAGTAAACTAGGACATGATGCTTTGATTGCTTTCCTACCTTGATGATATGTTAGAACCCGCTGGCCCACTATTAGCAGCGAGTGAGTACCAAGCTGGGCGTGTTTTTGCGCTACTTTTAGCCCAGTTGACGATTCGATGTAGTGCACACTGTGAAAGTCGTCACTTGTTGAAAGTGGATGAAGAGTCCAGCTTCGATAGTGCCCGTGGTCCCTCCGCCACATATTAGGCATCTACTCTGCCACATATTAGGCATTTCGCTGAGGTTTTTTATCAATCTATTTCTTGTTGAAGATTATGGATTTCTATCAAATAACCACATTTTACGCGGTCCTCACATGTGCATGGGATTTACCATGTTTTCAGTCATTTACTATTTTCCTTCCGTCTGCCTCAAAGAGCAGCAAGGTGCCGAAGGGATTTGATGTACAAGAGGCAAAATATTTCAAAGATATCTACTCATCCTCATCATCATCCTCATCGAATGAGCGGCATTACAAGGGTGGTCTCAAAGATTCAATTGAACCACACGACTACATGCTTTCAATTTATAAGACTTTCTCTACAGCCGAAAAATTGGGGCTAAACGCAAGTTTCTTTAGGTCATCAAAAGTAGCTAACACTATAGCAAGTTTTGTGGATATTGGACAAGGTATGTAAAACCATTTAAGACACGTTTAAAATAGTAGTTTACGTTGCGAATGTTTCTCTCATTCACTCACCATGCTGTAGCCTAGTAACTGTGATATGAATGTTTGTGTAATGGAGCCACATTCCTGACTGTCTGTGTCTGACTATATGTGTCAGTCATGTTTTATCTCTAGTGAATAGAAAATCCCTAATCTACAATCAATCTACAAGATTGAACTAATCCTCCATTTAATGCTAAAATACTAATATGTGCAGCCTATTATATTATAGGTGGACTGTTTTGAAATTGTCATTGTGATTTTCATAAACTGAAGATAAACAATGGAAAAAAATCCTATTGAAGTGAAAGTAATCTCTTTAAAGAATGCTCTGCCCCGAAAAAGTATCTGACTGCAATTATTTAATGCCTTTCACAGATGACCTCCCACTCTCCCCTTTGCGAAGACAGCAGTATCTGTTTGACGTCTCAACCCTTTCAGACAGAGCCGAGGTGCTGGGGGCTGAGCTGAGGATATACACCAAAGTGTCTGGGAATTTCAGGATGTCGGAAACAGAGCCAGTGGAAATTCAGCTACTCTCCTGCCGCTCTCAGCAGCTGCTGGATTCCAGAGCGTTGGATCTTCAGGAGTCCCATCGGCCCAGATGGGAGGTGTTGGATGTGTGGGAAATATTTAAGGACAGGGATCACCTCACACAGGGGAGCCAGTTCTGTCTGGAGGTCAAGGCCATGCTGGACAACCCTGAGAGGGAGCTTGACTTGCATCATCTGGGCTTTCACCGAAATGGTCGCTCACAGCAAAAGAAGGCAATTTTAGTGGTGTTCACCAGGTCCAAGAAGAGACAGACCCTTTTCAGCGAAAGGAGAGAAGGAAGGACATTGATGGGCCCTGGGGAAAAGGGGAAAGAGAGGGACCCTCGTTCTAATTCCAAAGCCAGCCGGAGACGCAGGATGGTGATATTGAAGAATCGCCACGGGAAGAGGCATGGCAAAAAGTCAAAATCGAGATGCAGCAAGAAGCCGTTGCACGTGAACTTCAGAGAGTTGGGCTGGGACGATTGGATCATCGCTCCTCTGGATTATGAGGCGTACCACTGTGAGGGCGTGTGTGACTTTCCTCTGAGGTCACATCTAGAGCCCACAAACCATGCCATCATCCAGACCCTTATGAATTCTATGAACCCCAGCAACATGCCTCCTAGCTGCTGTGCCCCGTCCAAACTCAGCCCTATCAGTATTCTCTACATCGACTCAGGAAATAATGTGGTGTATAAGCAGTATGAGGACATGGTGGTTGAGTCGTGTGGTTGTAGGTAATGCCTTTTTGGAAAGGCTGTGTATTGAGTGGGAATGAAATGTGATCCTCAGGGCCTGTCTGGTGTGAAGGCAATACTTTAAGCTACCAGATAACTAGGGTTGCGTCCCAATTGGCACCCTATTTGCTATGTAGTGCACTGCTTTTGATCCATAGGGCTCTGGTCAAAAGTAGAGCACTATATAGGCAATAAGGTGTCATTTGGTACGCAGTTGAACATAGAGCATTTTCTAATATTGTAAAATGGTGTGGTGGGATTAATAAGCACCTGCCGCAAACTAATTCATGTTAATTTCTTCTTCCCTGGTCTGGTTCTCAGTTTAAGCCTGGCAAGTGAGGCTACTTCTTCCCTGAACCCTGTCACATGTTTTTATTTACCAATTAATGGGAGGGACACCTCCAAACACCCAGCAAATGACTGAAAATAAAAAGTAGTCATATCAATGTAAAAACATCAGTCAAATAGCAGAAGTCCGTTCATGGCTCCTTGACTTGGCCTTTGACTCGAGAGGATGCTTGAGTGCTACTCAGAAGGTAAAGCCTTATTGAGCTGCAACGTCTGTGTACTTCAAGTGCACTTCCACCAAAAATGCCCCCAGGCTTAGCCTACTTAGCCAAGGGCTCAGCATGTGTGCCAAATGGCACCCTATTCCCTACATAGTGTAGTGCACACAATATATAGGGTTACATTTGGGACGTAGTCATGTTGTGGTTAGAATACAAGGTGAAAAAATTATGCCCATGGGCCTTTTCCTGTAATGCACTGATATTCATATTACCATATGTAAGTACTTGATATGGAAATTATAATTTATGTTCTATCAATAAGTTATTATATTTTTGTTGTTGGAGTTTGCTGTTGGGGTTTAACACCTATCGTGTTTTGGTCCTGTACAAGATTGTACTTCAGGTCCCATAAATGAACAACAAGTTGGAAGGCTTAACAAAGTCTTCATAAACCCTGTGTAGATGCTTCAGAACTTATTTATTAATAAGAACATTCATACTATGAAAAAGGTAACATACTGTATGGGGTTTGTAAAGCATCTATGAAGAACCTATAAATTATGGGTTCAGAAAGTCTTAAAAGTTGTTGTTTGTTTAAAGAGGGACCATATTTTAAAACTTTTAAGATTGTATTTTGTAAACCTGATGGTGTAGATTAGAACAAGCAAAGAATGAGGGAGCCTTAACTGTTAAAATAGGAAATGATCACCAGTCAGAAAAAAGACCCCTGTGTTTTTGCAATGATATGCTGCTCCAGAGTTTATGGATCTGTTATAGCCTGTTTTATAATATTTTAGAGTAATCTTTGTTGGATTTGTATTTTATTTCACTTCTATTGTATTTTACTTTCTATTTTCTACTGGAACTCAAAACCAATGAATTTAATCTTCTTTCACAATTTTAAAACAAAAGGTACATTTACACATTTGTATTGGTGATACTGTTCTGACACTGTGCAAAAAAAAATAATGAGATCTAATTATTATTCAAATACAATTGTAAGAAAATACATACAGTATGACAAATTAATGATAACAACAATCAATGAAATTATTTAACCAAATGATATATTCATTTTTTTTACCTGTTAAGGTTACATGTTTTATGTAATAGTATATTAAATTATCTTTTGTATTATGTATTTTGATTATATTTTCCAAAATATGTGTATCATTGCTGTTTGAACTGATTTGCTTTACTTGATTGTGCAGTGTCACTATAGTCCAGTGGCGGTCGCTGACGTTTAAGATGAGGGAGGACGATTATTTTCTTTATGAGCATGGCCTTATTTCTATTACAGCATATTGGATAACTGTAATTCATATTCCATTCACCCAGCTCAGTGAAACATCGATAGGTTTAGGCTACTACATGATACTCAAATGTTCCCTGTACCCATCATGAGGTTGCTACAACCTAGCCTATGAATGAAAGTTTACAACGTAGGTGCACAGGTTGATTAATCAACGTGACAGACAGTAACACATTCAATACCGCCTTGAACATTATTGCTTGCATCTAGCTGATCTAGGGTGTAATCATTAGTCCAACAGTTGCAAACGAGAGTTTCTATTGGACAAATTCAGAAATGTTTATCCCCTTTTCGTTCCGTTTGCTTCCGTTTCAGAAATGTTTTTCAACAGAATCGGTGGAATGAATACGCCCCTGATCACACGCAAACACAGTTCACTTTCATAACACCCACATACAAACAGCATGATCATTTTGCTCATTACATAATTCCTTCTCGCATCTATGCGCTCTCCTCCTCTTACCTTTTCCCTTCACTTGTGGACTTCCGTGGACAACACATCAGCTGTCTGTGACCAGGCGAAAAAACCTTTCCAAGCCAAACCTTCATATCATAACCGCTTACCGCTACACACAGCCTACCTACATCGCCGTAGCTACTAGAACTAATGTGTTAGTAAACCCGCTACAATCATGCAGTACAGTGTACAGTCAGCAAGCAGTTTAGCAGTTACACTGGCGCCCCCGGTGGCAATAAATTAATACAATCAAAAGCTTACCTTGACTTGGAAGAGTTCCAATGTTGGGTAGCCATAGCCAGCTAGCAAACATAGCCTCCTTCTCTGTTTGAGCCGGGTGTTTGAGTAGGCTAAAATAGCTAGCTGCATTTGCTAGCTAAGTGAAAGTAAAAGTGAACAAAAAATCTCTTGCTTCTCCTTTTAAAGAAATGAATTAGTTCAAAACTGTTCAACTATTGTCTTTCTCTCTCTTTGAGTCAACTACTCACCAATTTTTTTGCACTGCAGTGCTAGCAAGCTGTAGCTTATGCTTTCAGTACTAGATTCATTCTCTGATCCTTTGATTGGGTGGACAACATGTCAGTTCATGCTGCAACAGCTTTGATATGTTGGAGGATGTCCTCCGGAAGTTGTCATAATTACTGTGTAAGTCTATGGAAGGGGGTGATTACCATGAGCCTCCTAGGTTTTGTATTGAAGTCAGTACCCAGCGGAGGACAAAAACTAGCTGTCCTCCGGCTATACCATGGTGCTACCCTACAGAGTGCTGTTGAGGCTACTGTAGACCTTCATTGCAAAACAGTGTTTTTTAATAAATTATTTGGTGACGTCAATGTTAAAAAGTAGTATTGTACATTTCCATGTTTTTTATTGTCTTTTCCACACACAAAAAAGAGAGAGCAGAGACTTGACCCATAAACAATATGAATATGTTTTATTCAAAACTGTTGGCATTGAGAGATAGTTGAATGGTTTGAGTGACAGTTTGTGGGGTGAAAGGGGATAAAACCCTATATTCCATGGGTGGGCTGTATGTGTATGTGTCTGTCTGTAGAGGGGCGGAAGAGGGACAAACAAATTGGTTGGTGAGGTGTGGTGGGCAGATGCATGGCCTGACCCCTAGTATAGAGCTACATTCAGGCCTCAGTCCTGCAGACAATGGTAAGAGAGGATCCTAACATGAGATTTGAGCATGCCTTTTCCTACAGGCCAAAGGTGAAGTGGCCTATTGTCTCTGTGGCCTGTGTGCATTCTACAAGGTACACATCCACTAATAAAGAGGTTGGCAATTAAGAGAAAGAGGGGGACAAGGGAAAGGAATGTGTGTGATGCTTTCTGCAGCCCTCCCCTGCCTTTCTCTGTGCAGAATTGCACCCTGTCCCAACCGGCCCTAAACGACAAGTAAGATATAAAAAGAGGAGGCTACTTCAAGCCAGCTGCCCTGGTCAGCCATTGGAGAACAAAAGATCGGAATGTGACATTTCTATAGGGGTATCAGGATGCCTTTTCGACTGTGTCTGTCTCAATGGAGCCATTTTGCTCTGAGTTAGCTAAATATCTGTGAAGAAACAAAGTGGATTGTTATTTCATGCTGGATTCAGTCATGGAAATTACAGTTGACTTCAATTGAGATAACACTGACTGCTAAGGGACAAGGTTTTATTTCAAAGAGATTCCTAATATGTTTTACTTTTCTCCAATGAAAATGTTCTCAAACTGTATCCAAATTTGCATTGAATTCCATTGTAGGTTTTAGACACTCGATATCTTTCCTCAAACACGTGTCTCTCTTGTTAAGCTAACAGGCAAAAGTGATCTCCCTTGGCCTGGACCTCTGTGTTTGCTCTTGTTAAACCTCCTTTTGAATGGCTTTAAAGTGGAAGTATTTTCTACAGAGGAGTCAAATGGCAGCAACCCCTGAGCCCTCTAATTGTTACAGAGGTGGAAAAGAGGGATTGCACAGTCGAGTGAGTAAGCAAAGTGATGGAGGAGGTCTATTTTGATAGCAGGAGGTCAGAGGGAGGCTCACTAATCCAGGGAGAGAGGGGTCTTCTGTGGGTCAGTGCTGTTAGCATACACTATCCTCTTGAGCATACCCAGCACTACTTGCTGGGAGAAGCAGATTCTGGGCTCGACTCATCCAGCCACACTGAGCGAGTGTCTGACAGAACTTGATCCAACACTGTAGGACACTGTCCACATCTTAAAACCCTATCCCTGAATCTGTCTAAAACTCTGTTACGAAATCATCCTGAATGCTTACTATTTCAATGTTTGTTTTACACGTATTATCTTTAACGTTCTATTGTCTCTGGTAGAGTTTTAGGGAGATTAGAACAGTTTAAGGTTTTACCAGGCTCAGTCTGAAGAAAGAGCTCCCTCTCCCATAGGAAATCCCAATTTACATTTTAGTCATTTAGTAGACACTCTTATCCAGAGCAACTTACAGTTAGTGAGTGCATACATTTTCATACTGGTCCCCCGTGGGAATCAAACCCACAACCCTGGCGTTGCAAGCGCCATGCGCTACCAACTGAGCTACACGGGACTACCCCCTTCCAATCACTCACTCCCTGGCTTGGCAAGGGAAAAAACCCAGTTAGAGTTCGACAGAGTGTTTCCCCAAACCTGGTCTGTTGTAGCGTTAACCCTGCTGCTGCAGCCTTTTACTGTCATACCAGGGATCAAATGATGAGGACATACAGAACATACAGATGTTTGTAATA